CTGGTGGAACAATGGGGGTTGGTGTGTTGGAGTCAGTGAAATTGGCTCAGGACAGGGCAGACTTCAGAGCTAATGTGCATAGGGTTGCTATGAATTGCAGGTGTCTTGACGGCACATAACAACAACATGTATTTACAGAGGATATATTTCAGTGTATGATGCATTTCAACACATGAGAGTCACTGGATCACAACCAAATCAATAGCTTCTAATAACAAGAACATCCTTCTTGTTGGTTATGGCAGCACGTGTGCTTTTTGTGAGCCTGCTTTATACATAAGAATACACCTACAAGGCTAAGAGGAGAACTCTGGTGGACTAGTGGTAAGAAGGTGGTATGCAGTCTCAGAGGCACAAAGTTCAAATCCACTAGCTCCTCTGTGGGAGAAAAATGGGCAATCTCAATAGTGGAATTGCTGAGTGAATTAGTAGTTCTGTTTCCAACTGTTAGAAAAAGCACCAGACTGCTTTCCATAGTGGTTGCACCATTTTACCTTCCCAGGGTTCTAATCTCTCTACAACCTCTGGAAAGTCTGCTATGAATCAGTTCTGACTCGACTGATGGCATGCAACAACAAAAGGCTAAGAATCTACAACCAGGAGAAGATAAAATAGATGGTTGGGACCTTCTAAGAATCAAATCCCTATGCACATCCAGAAACTTCTCCAGCAGGGTAAAAAGAGAAGCCACAGACAGGAAAAATATTTGGTAAGGACATGTCTGATAAGGGACTTATATCTAGAATTATAGAATACTCAAGCACCACAACAAGATAAAGGTAAACAACCCAATTGAAAAATTTGCACAGAATGTAAGCAGACACTTCACCAAAGAAGATACTCAGATTGCCAACAAGCACATGAAGAAATGTTCAAAATCCCTCACTCTAAGAGAAATGCAAATCAAAAGAACTATGATATATTATCTCACCAAGTAAGAATAGCAAAATTTGACAAAACAGCAAACAGCAAATGCTGGTGAGGTTGTGGAGAAACTGGAACCCTTACTCACTGTTGGTGGGAGTGTAAAATGGTGCAACCACTATGGAAGGCAGTGTGGTTCTTTCTCAAAAAGTTGGAAATAGAAATACCATTTGACCCAGAAATTCCACTGCTAGGAATATATCCTAAAGAAACCATAACTGCCATCCAAGCAGATATATGCACATGCATGTTCATTTCAGCTTTATTCCCAGTAACGAAGATTTGGAAACAACCCAAGTGCCCAACAACAAACTAATGGATAGAGAAACTCTGGTATATTCACACAATGGAATACTATGCTGCTTTGAAAAACAAGGAAAAAAATAGGTGACCCTGGAGGACATTATGCTGAGTGAAATATCTCAGTCACAAAGGGAAAAATAATGCATAATATTTTGGGGGTTGGGGCCATCTAAGATAAGAGGGAATAAATAATGTATACTGCATTGAAAGAGATGAGGGAGAAAACTGTTTGAAAGGAATAATATGATTAGGTATTCTTTTCATGACAAGAGTCTAGAATGAGAGATTCATGGGGGTATGGACTGGGGAGGATTGTATAATAATGAAGGTATTTTTGGTGTTTTTTTTTTTACTTTTTAAAGGAAAAAACAAATGGGGGAGGAATGGGCAGGGTGGGAAAATGTACAACAGTGAATAAATAGAAATCCAAAGTCTCTATAAACTTTCATTAAAATTTCAATTAAAAAAAGAAAAGGCTAAGAATCTGTGTTAATGGACTTTTGTCTCTTCTGATTTGCTATGATCAGAGGTGTCATTATTACCCAGTTATAATGTCACATAGTTTCATCTGCATCTACTACAAGCAATTGTGGTTCTTTTCATTGCTGCAGTAATTTTTGGGGGGTGGGGTTTTTTTACTAGTTTATTTACAGAATTCTTATACGAATTTGAACAAATTCTTTCAATTTCACTCACCCCCGCTACCCATCAAATTGTACAATCCAATGATTAAACCGTATTCACCCTGTCCATCCACATCCCTCTGCTTCCAGTCTGTCCCATCCCTCCTGGATCCTTATACTCATTCTGCAATAACGGTTTTATACAATATTTGTCATTGTGGGTTAGTTCACTCAGCATACCAAAATTGATCATATACTAGGTCACAAAGCAGGCCTCAACAAATTAAAAAATGTTGAAATAATACACAGTATTTTCTCAGACCGCAATGCCATAAAATTAGAAATCAACCACAGAAGAATAAAGCTTACAAACCCACCCATGTAGAAACTAAATAATTATCTGCTAGAACATGATTGAGTTATAAATGAAATTAAAAAGTTCCTTGAAACAAATGATAATGAAGATACAATTTACCAAAACCCCTGGGACACAGCTAAGGCAGTCCTCAGGGGGCAGTTCATAGCAATAAGCACACACATAAAAAAGGAAGAAAAAAGAAGAATCAATGATCTAACTCAACACCTTCAGCAAATAGAAAAAGATCAACAATCTAATCCTACAGCCTCTAGAAGAAAAGAAATTATAAGGACAAGAGCTGAAATCAATGAGATAGAAAATAAACAGTTGAAACCATCAATAAGACCAGGAGCTGGTTTTTTTCCAATAAAATTGAAACGAATTTGTTTTAAAAATAACATTTTTATTTTATACTGGTTTACTTACAGAGCTCATATACATTGTTTTTCACACAAGATCTTCCCATTTCCTTTACCCACCCTTCCCTCTACCCATCAAATTGAGTGACACTATGATTACCCCTCTGCCCATCCTCACCCCTTTGCTTCTACACTCCCCACCTTGGATCCTTATGCATGTTGTACTAGTTATTGTTCTATTTCTACAATAATAGCTATACTGTATTTGCCGTTATGGGCCTGAGTTAGTTCACTTAGCATAGTGCTCTCCACTCCCTCTCAAGTTAGGTAGTGATTTTCAAAATCATTGCTCCTGCATGCTGCATAGTGTTTCACTGTGTGAATATACCATAATTTCTCAATCCATTTATTTGTGATTGGACATTTGGGTTGTTTCCATGTTCTTGTGAAGGTGAATAATGCTGCTATGAACATTGGTGTACAAGTCTCCATTTGTGCTTCAGTTCTGATTTTCTCAGGGTATATTCCAAGCAGTGAAATAGTTGGGTCATAGGAAATGTCTACATTCAGCTTTTTGAGGAAGTGCCAAACTGTCTTCCAGAGTGGTTGTACCATTTTACAATCCCACCAACAATGTATAAGTGTTCCAATCTCTCCACATCCTCTCCAACATTTATTACTTGCTGACCTGTTAAACTTTGCCACTGCTACTGGAGTGAGATGGTATCTCATTGTGGTTTTGGTTTGCATATCTCTTATTGCTACAGTAATTTTTGCAAATACTCATTTTTCACATTCTCTCCTGTTTTAAAAGCTATAGTTTTATGATAATCAGCATTTGGAAACCTATAGCAATAATTTTTTTTAGCATGAAGTACTAATTAAAAGAAGAAAATTTTTAAATACTTCCATTCACTCCCTAGTAATGTTGTAATTTAGTGTAAAAAGATTTTACAAACCAATTTATAATTTATAAATGCAGTATTTAAAATCATTGATCTAAAAACAACTGTGTTTTTATTTTAAACTATATTCAACAGCTCAATTCATTGCCTCTGAATCAGAACCAACTTGGATCTGACCTCCATTGACGTTTCGGAGACTGTAAAACATGCATACAGAGATTTCCCATCTATCTCCTGTGGAGATACTGCTGGCTTCACATGGCCAGAGAGGCGCTGCCTTTGGGTTAGCAATGCAGCTCCTTCAACACTAGGCCAAGAGGGTTACTTATTATTCTATTATTAAAATGTATAAACCTTACTAAGGCTTCTGTGTGGTTTGGTATAGTAAGTGATCTAGGAGGAGATGGAGAAATTACACCCATCTTCCATAATACCAACCTTAGCAACAACCACTAGCTTCTGTCCCAAGCAGTGTGCAGCACACAGTCAAGTCTAAAAGTGAGTTTTCCCAGGATGTTCATTTACACGTAAGGCAAACCATACCCGCAACGAAACTCATTTATGAAGGGTGTTATGTGTTACATGATGGAGCAGCAGCCAGTCCAGTACCTGCCACAAAGATCACTGACTAGCCAGGTTGCCATCACACTCATCACACTGGACAAGTGATCACATATATACTCAGGTTCTTTTCTCAAGGCTGGGGTTTGATCACAGACCAGGAGAAAACATGAGGATATGGACTCTTGTACCAAGACAAGGACTGTGGTTCTTTATTTTTTTTTTCATTATTATTATTTTCATTCATTTATTGTTGCACATTTTCCTCCCTGCCAAGCCCAACCCTGCCGTTTGCTTTTTCTTTGAATGAAAAAAAATTCTTTCATTGTTGTACAATTCCTACCCCTCAACCCCAGTCCACTTTACTATGCAGCTCTTATTCTGGACTATTGTCATGCAAACAATGCCCAATCATATATTCCTTATAAGCAGTTCTATTCCTCATTTGTTTCAATGCAAGTTACATTATATATCCCCACTTAGTTTTCTCCCAACCCCCATGTCAGTCCTGTTTTATATGTTCTTGATGGGAGCTGCAGGCCAGTCTTATAGACTCCCTGCCCCAGATTCCTACTGCAGCTGATCACCAGCAGGTTGCTGTACAGCTTCTCCACTTTCACCAGCTCCTAAGTGACACAAATAACTGTCACTTTTCATGTTCCCTCTTGAAAGGCATTTGAGAGCAACCATAACTTGCTTCAAGGAGTTTAAGGCGCAGTGATTTAAGTGTTGTGCTGCTGACCAAAAGGCAAAAGTCAGTCCCACCAGCCACTCCACAGGAGCAAGATAAAGATTGTCCACTTCCATGAAGAATACTGCTATGGAGACGCTATGGATCAGTTCCACTCTGTCCTGTAGGGTGATTTATTGGAATCATTTGGATAGCAGTGGGATTGATTTGTGGCTTCAAAACTTGTTTCAGACTTCAGTCTAGATTTGGAAGCCTGCCTTGTTTTCTTTCCCACAGCCTTGCAAGGGGAAGCTGCATACCAGATTGTGAGCCAGGCACCTATTTTGACTCAGAGCTTATTCGATGTGGGCAGTGCCACCCTACCTGCCAGACCTGTGTTGGTGAGTCCTCTGACACCCAGAGCTCTTTGTCCCTACACCAGACACTTGTACCCTGGGCAGCAGGGGTCTATCAGCAAATCATCCTGCAGCTGAGAATAGTCCCCTAGGGGACTTGCAGTAAAATTCAGGGGCCATGCTGAACAAGCATACTGGGATCTCCAAGCATTAGGAACCCTGTCAGCAGTGACTATTTTCAGTCTCTGGAGAGAATGCTAGCTAAACATCCCCTTTGTCAGGGACCTGACATTGCTACAGAGTAACTGGCTTTGAGAGCAGTGAGAGATAGAGAACACAGAGGCTGGGCACATAGGTGGGCTGTGGGTGGGGAAAAGAAAGCTTCCAATTTTTCCTTTATTCTAATCTTCACACTGTAACAGCACTCTCCCCACTCACTCCCTGTGTTTTCCATTTCCATTCCTTCTTCCTTTCTGTCCTTCTCTGCCTTCTGAGCCTTTCTATTGTTGTTGTTGAACATCTTCCAGTCAGAGTCTATTCATAGCTGACCCTTAAATGGGTTTTCAGAGGCAGTAAATCACATGGGAAGAGATTGCTCATTTTTTTCCTGGGGAGTAGCTAGTGTTTTTGAACTGTATATCTTTGTGTTGGCAATACAATTCATTACCACTAAGCTACCACTGGCTTTATTGTTGTTAGTTGTTAGGTACCGTCGAGTTGAGTATGACTCATAGAGACCCTGTGAACAAAGGATCTAAACCTCCCATTCTATCCTGCACCATCCTCACACTTACCAACACTCAAGAGCCCATTGTAGCAGTCTCTGTGTCAATCTACCTGGTTTAGGGTCTTCCTCTCTATTGCTGAACCCCCACCCTTCCCAACATCATGTCCCTCTCCAAGAAATAGCAACATGCCCAAAGTATGTGAGGCAAAGTCTCATCATTTTTGCCTCCAAAGGGCACTCCGGCTGCACCCTCTCCAATGCATATCTGTTCTTTTGGCCATCCATGGGATATTTGGTGATCTTCTCCAATAGCACAGCTCAAAGGCATCACATTTTCTTCTGTCATCGCTATTCATTGTCCAGCTCTCAGATGCACAGCAAGTGATTGAAAAGACTATGGCCTGAATCAGATTCACCAATGGCTTTAGCCCTTGGCAAATGCTGCCCTTTGATCTTGTATGATTGGTTGTTCTAAGAAGTATGCTCCTCCTTGGTGTTACTGATAATCTTTATTGTTGTTTTTGAGTACCTTCCAGTTGGAAGCTAGACTCTCCACTGAGTTTTTGGAGTCTGCGAATCATGCCAGAGGAGATTGCCTGCCTGCCTTCCTCCCATAGAGCAATTATGTGTCTTTAGGTTGACAATGAAATGAGGGTGATTTCAGGTCCAACGTTGCAGTGTCACTAATACATATAGTACTCTATAGTTCTGCGCAGGGCTGCATCTGTGAGCACCATGTGGCCCACAGATTCCAGGGCAGGGCCCAGCTTCCATGGAGAGCACCATCCAAGGTAGCTGTTAACCACCTGGAAACCAGCACAGCTACTGCTTGTTGCTGTCTGTTCGCTGGCAACTTGACAGCAACACCCTGATGGGAGTAAGCATGACAAAGATACACCACTCTGGGAGAGGATCAGAGAATCAATCCAGCTCAATTTTCTTGGGATCTGCACTGCACTTACATACACAGGAAGGCAGGATAGGGTGGGCTTACAGAAGTGGGACATGCAGATTGGTTAGAACCTCAGCCTTGTGAGAATCACTCCCAGCTCAACAGACGTGGCAGCCGTCTTCCCAGGGAGGAAGCTTTTTCAAACTGGTACAGCCAAATGCAGGAGAGCTTTTTCTACCCCGTATTAAAGACCGTTGGGAGGCTTGAACCTGTCTGGAGCTCAGGTGACCCATCCTGGCCAGAGGCACTCCCTTCCTCCCCAACATTTCACAATACCTGCTTCTCATTCCTCTCATTATTTTCCCCAAATTCAAGCTCAGAGCATTTCCCTGGACTTTGGAAACAAGTGGAATGTTCTGCCTCTTCACACCACCTTTCAAATCTCATACACTAGACACCAGTCCCATAGAGTGAAAGCCACCGAGTGCAAGTCTCTGTTACTTCTTGAAGCAGCTAGTACTCTTCTGGCTACTGAGTTAAGCTAGGGGTCAGTAAATGGAGGAGGGAGGTCCAGCCCTGGGCAGACATTGCCCACTGCTCCATCTCACTGACTTCCCTCCTAACCTCACCTCCACTGGTAACTGGTGTGGCTGAGATTCTTAGTGGGAGATGGTGTCTGGGATGACTTTGGTTCAATATGGGAAGTGCTATTAAGTGTGAGTGAGGTTCTCTGTGGAAGGTGGTATATGATGTGATTAAGGTTCTCTGTGGGAAGTGCTATCAGGTGTGAGAGTGCACCTTCAGTGGGAGGTGGTTTCTGGTGTGACTGTGGTTCTACTCTGGTTGGTGGTATCTGGTGTGACTGAGGACCTCTGACAGAGGAGATACCTGGTGGGACTGAGGTTCTCTATGGGAGGTTGGTATCTCTTGTGACTGAGGTTCAGTTGTGGGATGTGGTATCAGGTGTGACTGTGGTTCTCTGTGGGAGATGGTATCTTATTTGACTAATGTTCTCCGTGGGAAGTAGAATCTGGTGTGACTGGGATTCTCAGTCAGTAGAATCTGTTATGACTGAGGGTCTCTTCGATCATAGGTAGTATCTGGTGTGACAGGTTCTCTGTGGGAGATGGTATCTTATTTGACTAATGTTCTCCATGGGAAGTAGTATCTGGTGTGACTGAGGTTCTCAGTCAGTAGAATCTGGTGTGACTGAAGTTTTCTGTGGGTGGTGGTATCTGGTGTGACTAAGGTTCTTTGTGGTACTTGGTATCTGATATGACTGAGTTTCTGCTGTGGGAGATGGTATCTGGTGTAACTGAGGTTCTTTGGGAGTGCTATCTGGTGTGATTGCAGTTCTCGGTGGGACATGATTTCTGATGTGACTGAGTTTCTACTGTGGGAGATGATACCTGGTATGACTGAGGTTCTTTGTAGGGAGTTACTATCTGTGTGACTGGTTCTCTGTGGAATGTGGTATCTGTTGTAATTAAGGTTCTCTTTGGAGAACTGGTATCAAGTGTGATTGTGGTTGTCTGTAGGAGACGGTATCTGATATGACTAAAGTCCTCTGTGGAAGGTGGTGTCTGGTATGGACTGGGATTCTCTGTGATAGGTTGTACCTGGTGTGACTAAGATTCCTTATGTGAGGTGGTATCTGATGCGACTGAGGTTCTCTGTGATAGATGGTATCTGAAGTAACTGAGGTTCTTTGTTGCAGGGGGTATCAGGTGTAACTGGGATTCTGCACTGGTAACTGGTGTGACTGAGATTCTTAGTGGGAGGTGGTGTCTAGGATGACTTTGACTCAATATGGGAAGTGCTAATAAGTGTGAATGAGGTTCTCTGTGGAAGGTGGTATCTGATGTGACTAAGGTTCTCTGTGGGAGGCAGTATCAGCTGTGCAACTGTGACTGTGTTTCTCTGTGGAGGGGGTATCAGGTGTGACTCAAGTTCTCTGTGGGAAATAGAATCTGATGTGACTTGGGTTCTGCTGTGGAAGTTGACATCTGGTGTGACTGAGGCTCTCTTTGGTAGGTGGTATCTTTTGTGACTGAGGTTCTCTGTAGTAAATGCTATCAAGTGTGACTGAGGTGGATATGACTGGTTCTCTGGGATAGATGGTATCTCTTGTGACTGAGATTCTCTGTGAGAGGTAGTATCAGGTGTGACTGAGATTCTCTGTGGGGGATGGCATCAGATATGACAGAGGTTTTCTGTGGGAGATGGTACTTGGTGTAACTGAGGTAGGTTCTCTGTGGCAGTTGGATTCTGGTGTTACTGAGGTTCTGCTGTGCGAGGTGGCATCAGGTGTCACTGTGGTTTTCTGTGGGAGGTGGTATCTGGTGTGAATGAATTTCTGCTGTGGCTGGTGGTATCTGATGTGACTGAGGCTTTCTCTGGAAGATCGTATCAGGTGTTTCTTAGGTTTTTTGTGGACATGTTATCTTGTGTGACTGTGGTTCTTTGTGGGAGAAGGTATCAAATGTGACTGAGGTTCTCTGTGGGAGGTGGTATCAGGTGTGACTGAGGTTCTCTGTGATAGGTGGTATCTGGTGTGACTGACTTTATTGTGGAAAGTGGTATCTAATACAACTAAAGTTCTCTGTGGGAGAGAGAATCTGAGTGGGGTTCTCTGTGGAAGGTGTTATCTGGTGTGACTGAGGTTGTTTGTGAAAGGGGGTATCTGGTGTGAGTGAGGTTGTACCATGGGAGGGGGTATCAGGTGTGACTGAGGTTTTCTGTAGGAGGTTATATCTGTTGTGACTGAGGTTCTGCTATGGAAGGTGGTATCTGGTGTAACTGAGGTTCTCTGTGGGACGTAGTATCTGGTGGTACTGAAGTTCTTTGTGGTGAGTGGTATGTTGTGTGACTGAGGTTGTGCTGTGAGTGGTGGTGATCTGTTGTAACTAATGTTCTCTATCAGAGGTGCTATCAGACATGAATAAAGGTCTTGTGGGAGGTGGAATCTGGTGTGGCTGATGTTCTTCTGTGGAGGTGATCTTAGGGGTTTTTGTGAGATATAGTATTGGGTACTGAGGTTCTGCTTTTAGACATGTTTCCTACAGTGAGGTCTTCTTAGCTTCTCCCCACTGGAAAGTAACCACCTGAGGAGCAGTTTGGGCCTCAGCCTCAGCTCTTCATAGGACACAGTAACCACCCACTGGTCAGCAAACCTTGAGGCTGGGACACGGGACCCTCCTCCAGTGCTCACCCTATATTCCCCATGAATCTCCACTTTTCCCATATGCCCACTCTGTACTAGAGTACCCTGAGGCCCAGAGGGGTTGGCACAGGGCACTCAGCCGCATCCCTTCCTGGTCTCACAGGGTGTCCCTTTGCTGCCAATGGGGTTCACTGAACTTCAGGAAGATTGGGGCTTTGTCCACTGCTAACACATCTCCATATTATTTCCAGTGAGACAACTATTTTTATCCCTGTCTTCACATCACCTACTCTATGGTCTGTCTAGTGGTCATAGATGCCATTTTAAATTTCCTAATAGCCAAATTTGGAAAATGAACAGGTGAAATTAATCTTACTAATATACTTCATCTAATAAAGTGTATCTAAGCTTGGAGCATTTCCAAATGCAATTAGCATAAAAAATTGAGGGTGATTTTCTATCCTGTTTACGCTATCCTTGAAACCTAGAGGGAGCGTGCATCTGAGTTCTGCAGCTGTATGTTAAGGGCTCAGCTGAGTGTTGCTGCTCTAACAGAAGCAAGAACAGCACAAGGTTAGAGGCAGGGGCAGGGACAGGATTAGCTGTGCTTGTTGGGCAGGATGTGTTTGGAACCAGTATAGCACAGGCAGTGCAGAGTAGAGTTAGTGCTAGGCCCCCAGTACAGCCCTTCCTTTCTCCTTACCTGGAAACAGGAATGTGACACCCCTCTGCAGCCACTTTCAGAAGCACTCACACTGCTTTAGTGCCTCGGGCTGTGGGTGCATGATGCCTTGTGGAAGTCCTGGGATGTAATGGCTGCTAGAGTGGTCCTTGACCTCCACTCCTTTCCTGTCCACAGGGCCTGGCAAAGAAGAATGTATCCACTGTGCCAACACCTTCCACTTCCATGACTGGAGATGTGTGTCCACATGTGGGGAGGGATTCTACCCAGAGCAGATGCCAGGCCTGCCCCACAAAGTGTGCCGGAGGTATGGCTTCTTTCATACGTCCCTTGGTTTGTCTGGGTGAGCACTCATGATTTCTAGCTAAGGAGTGGCAATGGGCAAGGGTGGCAACTCTCAACAGTGCATGGGGACATCTGAGGCCTGTCACTTGACAAGGGTCACATGCAGGTGGATGCTGTTCATTTGTTCCTTCAGTGGACATTGCTGAGTCCCCCTGTATTCCAAGTACCCAAGCTGGGCAGGGAGACTGACAAAGGACTGCCCCCCCAGGGCCCAATAGGGCAAAAGCTCCCACCTCTGCCACCCTAGGATGTATTCACTTTTTTGGTAATTGGAAAGCAATGTCTTTGACAGTTTTAAAACATTTGGGACACCGGAGAAAAAGCATAATCTAATCTAGAGTGATTTCCTCATTCTATAGCCATTTCCTATTCAGCAGGTATTTTAACCATGTCACACCCATATTCCTTTTATTGACAGATCTGCATAGTCCACCATGCTTATTGGGTGGCTTTGGACTAGGCAGTGTTGTTCCCTTTTGTTGCTAGATGTGGCAGTTAAGACAAAAGCATGTGCTTTTTCCTCTTCTCTTGTGTTGCCTTCAGTGCAGCCTGCCTTGTTCAAGACAAGAGCAGCAGAGGTGATGACAGTGATGGTGGGGTTGGGTTGTGAGTAGGAGAAGGAGAGAACCTTCCATATGAAATAAAACAAGAACAAGAGAAGCTTCTGAGGCCCACATCCAAGTAGGTGGAGAGAACAGACCCATCTCCCTGCTCTTGGCTGAGCACTTTATGTTAGCACTAGTAGATCTTGGGCAGGTAAGAAGCTCTCACACAAACTCACTCATTGCCATTGACCCAACTCCTTGCTGACCCTCCCTAGCAGTTTCAGAGGCTGTAAATTGTACACAAGGAAATTGTTCATCTTTCTCTCAAGAAGCCAAGACAAGATTTCAAGCTGCCAGACAGGTGCTGTCTTTCAGTTAACAGCACTCCCTGCAGAGTTTGCCACCAGAGCAGTCCTGCCTTTAAACAAAAAATCAACCCCACAATGATTCAGCAAACTCACTCCTTTCCATCAAGTCAGAACCGATTCATAGCCAACTGTGCGGCTGATTTTTAGAGGCTGTAAGTCAAATGGGAAGAGATTGTCCACTTTCTCCTGAGAAGCAGCTGGTGGATTAGAACAACTTCCTTAGGGTTGGTAGTGCAATTCTGTACCCACTAGGGCACCCTACCAAACTTTTGCACTCATGAGACTTAACAGATAAGGGGTTCAGGGGACCAGAGCCGTTACCTGTGATAGGGTAGCCTAGCTTTTATTTGAGTCAAAAATTTGCTAACTTTACTCAGGCTGATACATCTTGCAAGCTCGGTGTCCTCTCAGAATCTACCTTTTTGTTTTACATAGTAAGATGCTTCATGGGTAATTAAACAAGGCCAGTGACCCAAAGAGAGTTTGCATTTTTTGTCAAAGGCACAGAGTCTAGAGAATGCTAAGTATCCAATGAATATGAACAGTGAGACATCCCCAAGCGGCAGGGGTAGGATGCAGCTCCCTGTCAAGGTTCCCTGTCAAGGTTGTCTCCTCTGTGCCTGGCACTTGCTTCTGTCTCATGATGTCTAGTTTGGGAGTGGAATTTGCTGGCCTAACATTTCGTGTCTTGGCAAAAACACCCCCAAGGAAGGCCCTATACAGAGCCAAGGAAAATAAAGTGACTGTCTTTGAGAGGGTCCTCTTGGCTATGACAACCCTCACTGTAGATTCCTCTCAACAGAAACAGGCTTGGCCTACCTGGATTCCCTCTACAGGGTCCTACTTGATGTGGGCTGATCAGCCAGTGAGGTGTGTTCAGCCTGGATTCTGTCTGCAAGTCCCTCCCAGGTGTGCTCAGCCTGAATTCCTTCTGCCAGGCCCTCCCAGATGTGTTCAACCTCTGTTCCTTCTGCAGGGCCCTCCCAGGTTTGGGCTGCCTGGGTTCCTTTGCAGGGCCCTCCCAGGCGTACTCAGCCTGGATTCAGTCTGCAGGGCCCTCCCAGATAGAGGCTGCTTGAATTCCGTCTGCACACCCCTTCCAGTTTGGCAGTGCAGCCTCCACAGGCCCCTGGTTCTTACTTGTGTTCTGCTGTTCCTGCAGATGGCCATAGCAGATCCAGTCAACAGGTGATGCCCTGGAAACTGAAGGTAGCCAAGCCCTGCTCAGCCTGAGGGAGCTAGAGGGGTGGCACCGGAGTGCTGGTGTGCTAAGGGGTGTTCCTATGGTATTTGGGTCTAAGTGAGGAAAATAATAAGTGCCTGTAGTGCTGAGCTAGACCCTAGCCATTAGACTTAGTGAGAGACCTAAAAGAGGGAGCAAGACCATATTTGAAGAAAGAGAATCACTGTGAGGTGCTTTCCTCCCCACAGCTCTCCCTGCACCTGTCCCCACTGGGCATCAGGTGTGCTACCTACCGCTTTAAACTGCATCCAGGAGAATGTGATGAGAGAGCTCCTGTGAGAATGTGACCTGTGTCCCAGGTTTGGGGTCTGACTCTTATCTGGAACAGCCAGCAGAAAGCAATGCCAAGAGAGGAAGAAGCACAGTAGATGCATTTCCCTTCCAGAATTTGCCGGGGTAGAATTGCCGTGGTGTTTGGGGATAAGGCTGGTGACAAAAAACAACTAAATTATCACCTCTGCCCTAGAGGACCCATTCTCACCCCAAGGAAAGAAGCTATGAGTATCTTCCAGAGAAACAGGAGCACAGGGAAGCTGGGAAGAAGTAGGCAGCATCACCCTCAGGGAGTAGCATGGTGCTGAAATCTTCCTGTGCCTGTGACTTCCCTTCCTGCGGAACTGGAGCAAATGAATTACATGTGTGACATCCTGTTCATTGGCAGGAGGAAATGAATGCCCTGTCATCCTGTCCTACTGGGTCAGGAAAGAAAAGCCCTGGGCCTGATGAAGGCAGCGTTTGGAAAGGAGAATAAGCAATACCCTGCCAGCACGCCACCACAGTCTGCTTAGCACAGTGGCTGTGTGTAACACAGCTCTCAACAAGAAGTTTAAATAGCCCTGTCTTGCTCATGGACATAGTCTAGAAGGGATGTCAGCAGCATCATGGGAGAGTCCTCTTTTCCACAGTGGCTCTGGGTCCTGTGGTGGGTCCCCAGGACTACAGGAGGAAGCTCTGGGAGACCAGGCTCAAGGAGTTTCAAAAGTGAATGAGATGCTGCACAAAGTCCAAGAAGAGCTCCAGCCTTGTCCTCCCTGCTCAGGGGTGGGACCACAGACAGTCCAGTCCTCTCTGCTCAGAGTTGGGGCCACGGACAGGCCAGTCCTCACTACTTACCAGGGCAGGCACACCAGTCCTCACTGCTTAGGAGGGCAGGTAAGCCAGTCCTCACTGCTTAGCAGGGCAGGCAGGCCAGTCCTCACTACTTACCAGGGCAGGCACACCAGTCCTCACTGCTTAGGAGGGCAAGTAAGCCAGTCCTCGCTGCTTAACAGGGCGGGCAGGCCATCCTCACTGCTTAACAGGACAGACAGGCCAGTCCTCGCTGCTTAGGCAGGCGGGCCAGTCCTCAATGCTTAGCAGGGCAAACGGGCCAGTTCTCACTGCTTAGGGGGGCAGGTGGGCTGACCAGTGCTAACTGCTCAGAATGTGGGCAGCCCTGTCCTCCCTCCTCGGGGGGGGGGGGTCCAGTCTTTCCTGTTGGTGTCAGGGGACTATAGTCAGACCCCCACCACCCTCCCTGCCCAGACCAATATGTCACCTTGTCCTTCTGCAGCTGAGGTTGGAGGTGAAGTGGTGGAATCTGCCTCCATCGAAGCTGCTTTGGAAAGAGGTGACAAAGTGCCTGTTCACTGGCAGCCAGTCATTGCAAGCCTTGCTTCCACGAAGGTGGCATCTGTCTCCAGCAGAGAATTGTGGGCACAGAGCAGGACCCTCATATACTTCACACCCCCTGCACCCCAAAAGACTGCTTCTGTGTCCTGTCCAGCCTTTAGTGGGGAGCGACAGGAAGCGTTAGGACTCTATGCAGAACTGCTTATCGCATGCTGGACCCAGGGGGGCCCTATGGGTCACATATGGGCACAAAGTGAGGAATGAGCATTTCACACCCTGTGGCATGGAAGAGCATAGTGGAGACTTTGCAGACCGTGTGGCCTGACATGTGCTTCACCTCGGCCACTGTAGCACCAGGAAGGCCTGTCATGTGCCTAGCCTCTGCCACTGTAGCACAGGAGAGACATGATGACCAGGAAGGTGCAGCTATGTGCCAGGAAAGCTTTGTTCACAAATATAAGTGGCAAGTAGTATGTACACAGGAGCCAAGGTGCCAGACCCTCCCTTCAGCCAAATTTAGACTGCAGCCCACGCAGCCACGTGGCCTTCTGGGGGCCAAGTTTGGCCAGGACCATCAAAGGGGGTCAAGCATTGGGAGGACACAGGCCTGGCCTAAAAGACAGTGCAGTCACTAGGCCAACTTCAGAATCAGGTTCATCATGCACCACGATCTGAGCCCACAGCCAGCCAAGCAAGCTGCAGCCGGAGACAGTAGTGCACTCCTGGCGCCCTAGATGACGGTGTCACTGGGGAGTGTGGAGATGGGCTGCAGGCAGACTCAGAGGCCAGAAGTTCAACTGTACACCTGCTGACCAGCTGGGGCCCTGTGAGGTCAGATAGAGGAGGCCCATGGGGATAGATACTTGGTGGAGACTGCCAACGTAAACAGTGTCCAGGGGTGGCATGGGATGACCTTGCCTGTCCCTGACCTCTTCTGCTGCCCAGCAGGCCTGTCTCTGTACTCCTGCAGGTGTGATGAGAACTGTCTCAGCTGCGAGGGCTCCAGCAGGAATTGCAGCAAGTGCCAGCCGGGCTTCACTCAGCTGGGAACATCGTGCATTACCAACCACACATGCAGCAATGGTGAGCATGCGATCCCTCAGGAGCTCACCGCTGGCTGTGGTCACTGGGCTGGCAGCCCACTGAGCAGGCATGCTGGCCACACCTAGGGAACCATTTGGGGACTTCCCTGTTGCCCTAGACAGTGCCCTACCCCTTACCTGCCTCAGGCTTCCCACGTTGGTCTGAAGCACCCCAGCCGCCAACCCAGCAACTGCTGCTGTTCTCCTGGGTGACTATTTACAATTATTTTATCCTTATACCATTGCCACTACCATGACATGGGTCCTTGGCAATGGCATCTCCACAGGACAGGCCTCACTTGGAAGTCTTCCCAAGGTTGTGAGGGGGAAGCCCAGCAATGAGGTCCCTAGTCAACAGAGAGACCATGTGCCAGCGGACAGGCAGATGTCAGCAGGGAGGACCGATGCCCACACCTAGGCTGAGACCAGAGCCAGCTTCCCCTGCTATAGGAGGGCCTAGGTCTTCAGGTAGCCTGAGGGACAAGGAGAGAGGAGTTTAAAACTCAGCAGAGGGCCAAAGGATTCAAGAAATAGCATGGGCTACAAGGACCTCAGTCTGAAGCTGGTGGAAGCCAGGGCAGGTTGTGCTGTGCCAGGCTGGCTGGCTGGACATGCTGTAGGAGGGCACCATGCCTGGTGCACGGGCATGCCTCACATCGCATGTGGAGGATCTCATGCCATGCTGTTGGGCAACTTTGGTGGTTCATAGAACTGAGTCCCTTCCAAAGCCAGAAAGCTTCCTCTTTAAGAGGTCACTTGCTCAGCTCACACATCTGGCCCAAGGTCAGGGATGTCGTCACAGGAGGGTCTGTCAGAGTCTGTAAATGGACACGTGTCTTCTGATCCAGTGACCCTCCATCATGCTTCTCTCCTCCTTCACTGCATCTCATGTGTTTTTCTTCACAATGCTCTTGCCTCACTACCTCCCAGAGGGGTACCCCCCTGGACCTGTCCCATGCACCCAGGCCCCTCTAGTGGTTGAGCTCCTCAGACCCTGCCACCTTAGAAGCCTTTCCAGTGTCTTAGATTTGCCATAGGCCACCACAGCAGGAGTAACAAAGGCCCAGCATGGCAGGACTCTGAAGGCTATGGGATTCCCCATATCATCCTGGACCCCTCCAGCACCCGGCAGAGGTAGAATGAGTACAGCAATCTTAACAGGCCCAACCTCTGATCGCTGGTAGCTGCTGTCACAATGACAGCTGCTCAGGGTCTCTCGTGTGGCAGCATAAGTGTGAGGCTGCAGGCTTCTCTCCTGGAGCATGGCTGGGCAGCTTTACAATGCCAGTCTCTTTGAATAGCCACATTCTCAGCTGTCATCACCACCTAAGACCCTGTGAAGTCTGATTGATCCTCCCTTTTCTTTCCTTGCCTTGGGCACCAGCTGATGAGACATTCTGTGAGATGGTGAAGTCGAACCGGCTCTGTGGGCGGAAGCTCTTCATCCAGTTCTGCTGCCGGACATGCCTCTTGTCTGGATAGAGGCCTCTCCTTGCCCTCCCTTCTTCACTGCAACAGGCAGAACGCAGCCTGGGAGAAACTGGGCACGTTTCCCCAGACCAGGCCTAAGCAGCACTTGCTCCCATAGCCCTGACAGTGGTCTCCATGGGAGCCGGCCCTCACACAGCAGCACCCTTGTAGACTCTGCTTGCTGGCTACATTCTTCTGGCACATTCAAAGAGGACAACATGAATTTTAGCATCCACCGCTCTGGCTCCATGGCAGCATTCGAGACCATAAGTTTCCTGAATATTGAGACCAAAGCAGGAGGGAGAAGCACTGGCCGGCACCCTGGAGAGTTGTGTGGTGCTAGAGACTCTCCTGAGCCTGGGCAGGCACCTAAACTCGTCGATGCAGGGTGGCCTGCTCTGGCCTGCCACTGCACCTGCTGGCGGACAGCTGGAGCACACTGAAGAAGACAGATTTTGAGGCACGATGTGTGAACACTGGGTGGAGTGTGTGTCTACACAATCAGCACTTATGACATGGAGCTGTAACTGAGTCATATCCTGCATGGGAAGGTGCCACCCTTTGCAGCTCTCTCTTTATGAGCCAAGTTTCCATCTTGTCACATCCCCACGTTCCTTCTGTGTCTCTGGAAGCTTCGTAGACCTGCACACCCACTTTCTGATGTGAAGACTTCTGAGGGGTGCTACAGGGCCACTCCGTCCCTCTGGGCTTACCCAAGAGCAGCCTGTGCTGCTGGTCTAGCAGTCACTGGTCTCTTCTGGAATTGTGGGAGACTTGTTCTGAGGGTTGATACTTGCATCTGTGTGTATCATGAGCCTGTGTGGCACAGACAGGCTTATTCTGCCAAACCTGTGTAGACGATTTATAAGCTACATGTTCTAATTGTTACCAAGGTTAATTATTTTGACAAATACTTCATTTATTTTCCTTAAAATGCACAGATCTGCTTCATGAGTTCCCTTTATTATGGGAATAACGTTTGCCTTAAATTTCCTCCACCTTGTGTCCGTCCATCACACCCTGTTCCTTCTCTTGACTATGTTCTTGCCTCGTTGCCTGTGAGCCAGAAAGAACCAAATTGTTGTTCGTGGATCCACAGCTCCAAAAAAGAAAACACCAGAACAAATGCAATGTTAACACTGAATTAATAAAGTTGTTAACATCCCCTGGCAAGGAAGCCTGTGCTTCTTTACAAGGCACAGACACCAGATGTGGGTGCTGACCAGCCGGTGAGGTAGACAGCACTTCATCCATGATGTTGAGATCTGGTTAGGGTCATTGCTCGAAAAGTCTCTGAACTTTCACAGATGTTGCAACAATAAAGTTTAAGGGAAGGTCCCACATTTCCAACCCTAGGATGTCTATCATCGGGAAAGATATGCTGTCAAGGGCCAAAGCATAGGTGGGAGCTGCAGAACCCGATATAGGGACATTTTCCCTATGTAGTTGTTAATATCATTGAGTCAACTATAACTCCTAACAATATCCTATGAGCCTTGCCCTATCCTACATCATCTCTAACATGCTCAAGTCCATCGTGACAGTCACTGTGACAGTCCATCTTGAGGGTCTTCCTCTCTTTTGATGACCCTCCACCTTTACTAGCATGATGTCTCTTTCCAAGGGCTGTCCCCTCCTGACAACATGCCCAAAGTGTGTGAAGTGAAATTCCACCATCCTGACTCTAAAGAGCGCCCTGGCTACACCTCCTCTAAGACGATTTTCCCTGTCCTGGGAAGTATTTTCTGGGTGACATAGTAGTTAGTGCCCTCAGCTGCTTATGCAGGGGTTGGCAGTTTGAGTACCATGAGGCCTCCGTGAGCTACTGCCGAAAGATCAGTGATGGAAAACCAAGTGAAGCACAGCTCTGCCCTGCCACTGGTTGGGTCTTGGTGGTTTGGAACTGACTATATAGCAAATGGCTTCCAGTAGTCAAGGGAGACCCTCAGCCAGGGCTGTTGACCCTAAGGCCATGCAGCCAGATGTCTCTTCATTTAGCATTCCCAAGTTATTTAATTAGTGACTCTTTTCTTTTGCACAGTGATGGAACCCTATGCCCACCTGGTTCCATATTAAACAAGATTTCCCCAAGGAAATCTCTCTGAGAAGGCAAAATGTGATATTTGTTAGAACATTTTAACTGAAAATAAAGAAAATACAGTAAGCATCACTGACTTAAGGAGAAAAAAGTGTACAGGCATCTTGTTGAGGTCGGCTCCATTTAGAGTTGTGGCTGGTCTTCATAGCCATAATGCCAACTTTAAATGTCAGCTGAGCTCTCTGGGAGTGACAACAGCATTAAGTGGGGTGAACTATGAACTAAAATGCTTAACAGAGTTTTGAGCTAGCAGCATGAACCAGAAAAGCAGGTCACTTTATCTACTGACCAGAAATCATGAAAAGGAGGCCTCTCAAGAGGCAAGAGCCACACAGCCCACCGTGAAAGTTGACTGATGTGAGTGTGGAACAGAGGACACAACACACCATGATTGTGGGCTGACACAAGTGAAGAGTGGGGTCACACAGCACACCATGATTGTGGGCTGGCATGAGTGAGAAGTGGAATAACACTATTAGTGTGGACTGACGTGACTGTGGAATGAGTGGCCAACAGTCCAGCACGAGTCTAGGTACATATGAGTATGGAACAATGGACACAGCTCACCAGGAGTGTTGACTGACATGAATGTGCAAGAGGGGTACAGCCCAAGGTGAGTGCGAAATGACAGGAAGTGAAAGGAGGGGGCACATAACCCACCATGAATGTGGACTGAAACGAGTAGGGAACAGAGCACAGAGCTCTCTGTGAGTATTAACTGACATATGTGTGGAAGAGAAACACAGCACACCATGAGTGTGGAGTGACAAAAATGTGGAAGGGGGCTTACGGCACACTGTGAGTGTGCCCTGACATGAGTGTGGAAGGAGGCACATCCCACAGTGAGTGCAGAGTGACATGAATGTGGAAGGGGACACACAGCTTACTGTGAGTGTGAACTGACACAAGTGGAAGAAATCACATAGCCCTCTGTGAATATGAACTAATATAGTGTAGAAGGGGGCACACAGCCCACCATGACTGGGAATTATACGAGTGTAGAAGTGGGCACACAGAAGATTGAGGTTGTTAATTTCTTTTTGCTCAGATCCACTATCATCAGGTGTAGTACCAGCAATCAGTAAATCAAAAGACAAATTGCATTGGGAAAATTTATTGTCAAAGATCTTTGTAGTGTGCTGAAGAACAATGATGTCAGTCTAGAGACAAAGGTGTGCCTAATCCAGGCCCTGGACTTCTCAATTGCTTGCTATACATCTGAGAGGTGGATAGGACTAAGGAAGGGTGACAGAAGAAGAATCAATGCCTTTGAGTTGTGCTGGAGAAGTATACTGAATATACATACCATTGACTGCCAAGAGAACTAGCATGTCTGTCCTGGAGAGGGTGAAACCAGGTTGCTCCTCAGGGGCAAGGATTTTGAAGCTCTGTCTCATATACTTTGGGCATGTTGCCAGAAGGGACCAATCCTTGGAGGGGAGGAGTAGAGGGTCATCACAGAAGAGGAAGACCATGGATGAGATGGTTGACATAGTGACCTTGGCAATGGAGTCAAGTGTGTCAGAGACAGTAAGGTTGGCTCAGGGTTGGGTAAGGTTCAGAGCCATTTTATTTAAAAATACAGAGTTTTAAAGTAATTTCAAGGGAATTTGTAGTATAGCTATTAATTAAGTCCTAAGAATGCCTTTAATTGGAGGGAGGGTTTTACTGTGGGGCAACTTTGGTTTCATACTATACTTGTCTATGGAAATTGGTGAGATCTGGTTTGATGAGTCAGAAATATATTTCACTATCAAGCTCTTTCACTTAGAATATGTCTACAGTAAAGATATATGGAAAACTCTCCTTTATTTTGCCAAGGTTTGGATCTGGCAAACGATTATTAATTTGTATTTATTATTTAATATGGAACTAAAAGAGCATTAATAAGCGGATACCATAAGCTGTGTCTTTGACCTTGAAGAGACCACAGTCTAAGTCATCTGTGTCGTTGACTGTGCGGTTAGAGAAGGCCATAAACCTGGAAACTGAGGTAGAGTGGGCTCCTGAGAGCCAGTGAGGGCTATTCAGGGTCAGGATGAGAGTATGAACAGGGAAGAAGGTGGGATGTGAAGTGTGCAACATTTAATCAGAACAAGCACAGGTGAATTAGGTAAACCTAATTCTCCAACACCTTACCCTTTTCCCCAACCAATAGTTGGGTGCTGACTGGCTGGGAAAAGAAGGTATTCACATCCCCACTCCAGCCTCCTCTCCTGCCATCCTCCCATCTCTAACCCTTTCCTGACACGATGTTCTGTGGCTTATCAACACAGTGCAGCACCTTCATCAGACCCTGGAGTTGTGTTCTTCCCACAAAGCTCCAGCCATACTGAATAAGCATCAGATACTGCCAACATTCTCTGTTGAGCCAACATAAACCAGAATGCCCAGAGAGAAAATATCTTTGCCGAAATCAATGGTTCTCAACTAGGGGTGAATTTGTCAGACTCGAGACATTTGACTGATGCATTTGGGATATAACAAACCAGACAATTGAACTTGCATCTAATGAGTATAAGTCAGGGATGCTGCTAAGAATTCTACAATACACAGGACAGTCTCATGTCCTCCACTCTCCCTAGCAAGAATTATCCACCCCCAAATGCCAATAGTGCTAAGGATGAAAAAGTCTGGGCAAAATAAATGGAATAAAAAAAAAGAAATTTTGTTTTCCATTTTATGGAGGTAGCTAGCAATGAGTAAAATGGCCTATAATTTTGTTTCTGTTTCTGCTCGTGACTTTGAACAGAGCAAACCACTATGGTTTCTCTCAAATAAATAAAACTCTTTCTTAAACCAATAAGAGGCCAAGAAGAAAACCAACACTGTGGTCTAAGGACTCCACTTGGTGGTTCTTTCTGGCATTAAATGAGATTTGGATACTTTTTAAAAAACAATTTTTTTCTTAAGA